GACCGAAACAATATCTTTTCCGATTCCGGAGAGGGAGCCTGAAAATCAGCTACCAAGCCCAAGGCAGCAGGCGCGCAAAGAAGGGTTACAAATAGGCAGCTAGCGCGCGTGTTAATAAAAAAATACTTTTTTCAAATGAAGAAACACGTGTGAAGTGAGTTCGAATTATATCAAGGAGGTTATGTACAGCGCAATCTGCCCGCGAATAGATCAAGCAATAATGTCAATATATCAAGGAGGTTGCGTTTAGCGCCATCTGCCTGCGAATAAATCAAGCAATAATGTCGATAATTCCGTCAAATACAGATCCCGAGCTTGAGAGTTACAAACAAACAAACATACATACATACAGGTAAAGCTAATAAAAACGTGTTAAAAACGACTACCGAATCTCATATCGACTATACCCTCTGATCACCTTAATATTTCCGATGCACAATTGTTTTTCCACTTATTCATCTGATCCATTTTAACCACCTGGTTTCTTTTCGTTTTCAATTGAAACGACATAATGGAAACGGGCAAGTCTATTCTTGTCGTCAGCTAGTCGAGAATGCAAATAAAACCCCATTAGATTCTCCCTTCTCGACCTGTTGGACCCTCTTTTGTTTCCGATATTGATTATGGAAATTATGAATGAATCATAGTATTCAACTCGATATAGAAGTTTCGTTTGTGTCACAAGGTGACTTGCTATTATAATAGAGAAAATTATGCAAGGTGGTTTCGAATTTAATATGGCCTCATACTGCTTTTTGGCATTTCGACTTGAAACTCAAGTCACGGGAGTTGTATATCAATAAGCATAATACAATACATAAATACAGCACAATCACGATTAAAATGAAACTAGAAACAAAATTAATTGAAGAGTCCAAAATTTTCTGATTTATTATTTATCAAACTTCCATTACTCACGCTCAAATGCTTGATCTAACTGAACAACTTGTAGATGACATAAGTACATCGAATAATTTTTATGTAGATTCTGCCAATAATAGTCTATCATTCAACAAGCCAGAAATCAATGGCCATTTTTCGTGAGTGGAATACTATACTTTTTCTATTACCGACAATAAGAATATTTCAAAATGAGATTTATTTGTTAAGGATATTCCGAATCAGAGCAACATCATTGACTTTCAAAACAAGAAGCAACCAAAAGAAGCGTTTACAAATATTTGGTATTTTTGTTATTTTATTCAATTTCGAATAGTTTGAATATTGAATGGAAAAAAGTTACAAAGGCAGTCGTAGATGTGACTTGACCCCACGACTACTGCACCTAAGGTCCAATGTTCAACTAATCATTCCACCAAGCTGGCTTAGAATTGACAAAGTTATCTGACTATAACTCAATTTATTTTCAAGTGGAAAGTAATTTCTAGTCACATTGACAATTTGGTGTAGTACACTTGTTTTCACTTCCCGGGTCCATATTTTTCTTTTTGAATTGATAACTTCTTATGGGGGG